GAGCCACCCAGGCGTCCCCCAGCTCTGGGACTTTGGGGGATGACTTTTCCTCTCTGAAACTGCCTCCTCTTCCATAGAACAGGACTCCTTCAATGACAGTAGCCACTTCACCAAGTAAGTGAGGATTAAATAAATTAGCTGTAGAAGTGCCATCTAACCGAGTTTAAGAACTGACCGCCGCCCTCACCTGCTCCTCCAACCCTCCTTTCCCATCTCCATTTCCCAGGAGGAGCCAATCACCTTCTGTGAAGAAGCCTTCGTGTCCCACTATCGCTCGGGAGCCATGAGGCAGTTCCTGCAGAATGCCACCCAGCTGCAGCTCTTCAAACAGGTACCCAGCCCTCCCCGTGGAGGGTGGCCCATCTGGACCCCCGATGGGGATTTCGGCAGCTGTCCTGCTGTAAGCCCCCAGGCCCAGCCGGAGGGGGCTGAGGGTCTGGGGGGGGGGGGATGGGTGCAGAGGGTGGTCAGTAACCAGGCCAACCCTCCACAAATAGGCCATTCACTGGCACAGGTTATCATAAACGCAGAGCCGGTGTTTTAAAAACTTGTTTGTTTGTTTAACTCACTCTTCCAAAGGCCCTTTCCTGTCTTGGGAAGGTGGTGGTTCTTTGGCCGTGCACTGAGGTGCCCAGCTGAATGGTTTCCCCCGCCGTTTCTTTGCCTAAGCTGTTATGCTTTTGTTCTTTCTTTATATAGTTTATAGATGGTAGACTGGACCTTCTCAATTCTGGCGAAGGTTTCAGTGACGTTTTTGAAGAGGAGATCAGCATGGGCGAGTATGCTGGTGAGAAGCAGTGCCTTTTCCCTTGTGTGCCGTGGGCTGCTATGCGGGACGAGGGTGTGCGTGGCAGGGAGTAGCAGTGGCTTCTTTCTCCTTCAGTGGGGGTTGGGGAGAGACTCACTTCACCCTCGGCCTTGAAATGTCTGAGATCCTCTGTCCTGGGGTCAGTCGCTTGCCCTGGGCAGCCAGAGTCTAGTGAAACGTAGCGGCCAGCACTCTGCGGCACAAAGCACTCGAGGCGCTGAGTTGGGAGAGCTGGCTTCACGTCAGGGCCCTGCCTCCAGGGAAGCCGTGAGGGTTTGGTCAGGTCGTGGCAGCTCTTCAGCTGACGTGGCCCCGTCTATGCACTGGGGAGAACGGTGCCCGCCTCACGGGAGTCCTGTGGAAATTGACTCGGAGTCCGTGAGGACAGATGCGGGCACAGGATCACTGCTAAACGAGTGTTTCTTTAAAAGGTGAAAATCATCACAGAGTGCCCAGTCTCCACAGACTGTTAGACCTGGAGGGGTCATCCGCATGATTCAGAGGCGGCCTCTGAGGCTGAGAGAGGTGTTCGTAGTGGACCCTGCCTCCTGAATCCCAGTCTGGCCTTCTTGCCAAATCCCGAAGCCTTAGTCTGTGGCAGCGAAGTCAGAACCAAATGCAAAGTAATAATAATCCTGCTGTTGGCCCCCTCTTATTGCTGGGCACGTGCCTGGTCTGGACTAAGCTTCTGTGATATAACTGGTGATCCATAAATCAGAGAGTCAGGCACAATCTCCCCTGCAAAGCCCCGTTCACAGACCTGAGCAGCCTGTGCTGCACGGAGAGCACGAGCACCAATAAAACCAGTCTGCGGACAGTGACAGCGAGTCAGTGATGGGCATTTCCTGAGCTCCCGCCACGTCCAGAGCCCCAGAGAGTAAGAAACGGAGGACCGGGTTTTGCCCTCATGGAGGAGCTTTTACTGGTAGGAGAAAGAGATGCATGACTAAAGACAAATTCAGGTTAAACCAGTGCAGGAAAAGGAGCAGAAATAGGCTTTTATGCAGTCAGAACAGGACTCCACTAATCCTCACTCTGTAACCTGAGGGCTTCACAAAGGAGGCAGCACTCTCAGAGATGCGTATGAGTTCTGAGGAGAAGACGGGCTTTATGTGTTGTTCAACGAAGTCACGTCATTCGGAGCTTCTAGAAAAGCTGTCCAGTGATAAGACCTCCTTATCCCACCAGAAAAAATGAACAAGTGCCCCAACAAGGCCTCCTTTTTCTTTCCCTATCACTACTCCAGTGTCTTGGGGCTGAGCGTGTGTCTGGCAGTGTGGGCACATGCAGCCCTGAGGTGCCTGCCCTGCGGTGGCTCACAGAACTGCAGAGAATGTGGACTTTGGAGTGGGAGTTACCCGTTGTAGTGGACTACTCAGAGGAAGGGTTCAGAGGAAATTACATGGGAGCCGTTGGTTGAGTATCCTCAGCAGGGAGAGTAGGGAATGGTGGCCGGCCTGGGGAACAGCGTTTGTGAGGGAATGGAGGGTGGAGGGGATGGACGTACAGGATGGAAAGGCCGAGGGTGGGTGGGACCAAGACAAGAGTGGAGAAGACAGTCAGGCGTGCTGAGGAGTCTGACCCCACCTCTATGCAGTAGGCAGCAAGGAAGGAGGATTTGAGTTGGTACTCAGGGCACTGATAGGATCGGATCTCTGTTTGAAAAAGAAAACTTGTGGCAGCAAGTCACTGTTGCCTCCTGTGGGGAGTGGAGCATGGGAGCCTCAGTGTGTTTCTCCAGATTTTGAACTTTCCAAGTCCTGCTTGCTAAGCAATTCGAGGAACTCCTGAGAGCACATAACTTCAACCACTTCTCTGACTCCTCTTTCCCCAGGCAGCGATAAACTCTACCATCAGTGGCTCTCCACAGTCCGGGTAAGTGTGTACCCCCACAGAGCCCCCCGGGCCCCTCCGGAGCCTCCTGGCAGCCCCCCACTTCCCCTGCCACCCGCAAGATGGTCATTCAGCCCCGGGGCCCTCCACTCTTTCAGCTGAAGATGCTTCTGCTTGTAAAGCCAGGCCATCTAGTGCCAGGGGGAGGCTTGTATGATGAGACTGTCCAGAGAAGCCTCCTTGTCTCAGGAAGCTGGCCAAGGCATGTTGAGTGGATATGGTTATCCTAGAGCATTTCTGGGGGTCTCCTTCTAGACCAGGGCAACTGGGACGTTTTCATAGGAAAACCAAAAATGTGCCCCTCTTGCTGCTCAGTTTCCACGGCAAAGGCTCCTGGGAAGATGGAGTTTTTCACCCCTCACTGTTGTTATGAACAGCATCTTGTTGTGTTGGAAGCTAAGTGCTTAGGTCTTCAGAAGCCACTAAAGAAGTCAAATTCTTGCCTCTGCCTGGGTTTATCAGTGTGTATATCCTGAGGGCCTCCTGTGGACCGGGCGCCATACTAGGGATACAGTGGGGAGCAGGAGGACACAGTCCCTGCCTGGGGGAGCTCCCTGTCTTCTTGGGGTTGCACGCGTGAACAGACAACTCCAGCATAATGTGATAAGTGTTCTCTCCTGCTTGTGGGCCGAGCACACCTCTGCCAAGGCAGGTCCCTTGGAAGTGGCTGCAGTTGGCCGAGAGTAAGCAGTTCCTCAGTGAAAGACCTCTTTTGTTCTTCTTGTATGGCCAAACACTGCACTTGGCAAATCATAGACAAGCAATAAGGACTTGTTGATTGATTGATAAAAGGAGTTTTAATACTCCAAAGGACCATTGAAATAGGATACTGAGTAATTTTGGAAAGCAGTATGGAATAAATGAGTGGGTAAAAATTTCATATTGTCCTACAACATAGAATGCTTTCTAGGTCAAACTGCAATGTTTTCAGTTAAAGCTCAAAATTTCTAATACGGACTATTGCCAAAAATTGTGCTAAGAGTTAATCCCCGTAATTACAGTACTGTATTTTACTCTTTTATATACCCACTTGATCCAGTCTCTCTCTTTGTTCAAATCAGGTAGAATTATCTTTCCAAACTACCACAGATCTGATTATTGATGCATCTGATTAAAAATCCTCTGGAGTATGGTCTCCATATCCTGGCCCCTCAAGAGCTGGCCCCATCTGGGGGCGCCTGGGTGGCTCAGTCGTTAAGCGTCTGCCTTCGGCTCAGGTCATGATCCCAGGGTCCTGGGATCGAGCCCTGCATCGGGCTCTCT